AAGCTCTAATTTTTACAGCCAGCTGTCTCCTGCTGTCATTTTATATGTACTTTTGGTTATCATTTCCATTTGTCATTTAATTAAGGTTAAATAAAAGTAATTTACTGGCACACACTTGAAGGGTTTTTAAAGTATTGATATGTTTATTCAATACCCAATGTCACATACTGTCATACAGTGCTAACGTTAAGGGTCCACACAGGGATCCTTCATCAGAGCAACAGTGACAGTGTCACTGTCGCTCTGATGAAGGAACCATGTGCGGACCCGAAACATTAGCACCGTATGACAGTATGTGACATTGGGTATTGAATAAACATATCAATACTTTAAAAACCCTTCAAGTGTGCCGGTGAATTACTTTTATTTACTATTAGTGTTTTGCACAGCGCCATCCGTGTGGTCACCTGGGCACCACATATACCTTGTGGTTTTGAGACCGTGGCAGTACGAATGGGATTTGGATTTTAAGGCCGACAGTTGAGCAGAAAATCACACACATTGCTCATTCAAATCCAAGTCTGTAGAAAGAATCTGATGGGTTGAATAAAATAAATAATTACTCATATTTAAATAAAAGTTAACATTTCCTCACTTCCTGTCTGCTGAAACTGTTGTCTCTCTAACGAAGTCCCATACAGCCATAAAAACCTAAAAGGACTTCTAATCCTTCCACAATCAAACTACTAAGAAAGGTTTTTAGCTTTATATACACTTTAATGCCTTCCCACCGGCATAACGCACATATGTGCCAGCACAACAGATGGGCCCTAAATGCTGGTTGTATGTAATTATGTGTCAGCTGGCCCGCTGTTCTATGTTGTTCCCTAATAAAGCCATGTGACCATCAATTTCAAATCTCATTGGACTAATTTGAAAATAAATATAGTTATTGTGTTGTGTTACCTACAGTGCCACCTGGTGGTATCATTCAGTATCTTCCTCCAACTACTGTATACAGGTAAAGTTGATGTCAATAATGATTCTTTCTACATTGATATTTTGTCAATAACCCAATAAACCCATTTACACACGTTCACTGTGAAATTGTTTGCAGCAATCCTTAGACTGTTAGCTACAGTTAATAAGGTGTAATCTGATTGTATTATTCTGTTTTATCGCAGCACATCTGGCACGTTGATGCAAAATACACTGCCTGGCCAAAAAAAAGGATTTCAGGTAGTGCTATGTTCTAGAGTTGCTTCCATTGGTCAGGTCTAGGTTTAGCAACATTATGTCCCCAACAAATGAGCTGCCTACCTGAATGTACTGAATGATCAGGTTTTTCCGTCAATGGATTTTTTTCTTCCTTGGTGGCACATTGGGCATATTCCAAAATGACAATGCCAGGATTCATCGGGCTCAGATTGTGAAAGAGTGGTTCAGGGTTCATGAGACATCATTTTCACACATGGATTGGCCACCAGAGTCCAGACCTTAACCCCATTGAGAATCTTTGTGATGACCTGGAGAAGACTTTACGCAGTGATCCGACTCTCCCATCATCACTACAAGATCTTAGTGAAAAATGAATGCAACTCTGGATGGAAATAAATGTTGGTCTAGGGATGCACCAGTACCGATTTTTCGGTATCTAGTACAAGCACCGATATCTATATTTTGGTACTCGCCAATACCGAGTACCAATACCGGTACTTCCGGTAGCATGGAGCCGGCTTCCCGGGCAATCCAGAGCTGGGCAGCATGTCATTACCCGCTGCCCGGCTTCTTGATTGCCCAGGAAGCCGGCTCCATTGGCTGGGAAGCCGGCTTCTAGGCCAATCAGCATTGAGTCGGCTGTTTGGCCGGCTCGATGCTGATTTGCCGGGAAGCCGGCATCCCAACCAATCAGCATGGAGCAGGCTTCTTGGCTAGTAAGGAAGCTAGGAGGCCGAGAAGCAGGTTCCATGCTGTTCGGCCAGCTCGTTACTGATTGGCCAGGAAGCTGTCTTCCTAACCAATAAGCATGGAGCCGGCTTCCCGGCCAATCAGGAAGCAGGGTCGCGGGTAATGACCTGTCGCCCGGCTTCCTAATTGGCCGGGAAGCTGGCTCCATGGTGCTTGGCTGGAAAGCAGACTTCCTGGCCAATTAGCATGGAGCCGGCTTTCCGGCCAATCAGGATGCTGGAAGGCAGGTCATTACCTGTGGCCCGCCTTCCTGATTGGCCGGGAAGCCGGCTTCATGCTGTTTGACTGGCTCGATGCTGATTGGCTGGGAAGCCAGCTCCATGGTCCCATGCGGCATTGCCGGTCAGAGGAAATCTCCCTCTGACCGGAAGTTCTGATATCGGGGGTAACGGAGCTTTTGGGCGAGTACTCGTACTCGCCCAAATACTCGGTATTGGCACCAATACCGATAATAGTATCGTTATCGGTGCATCCCTAGTTGTGACATTGCATAAGCTTATCGAAACAAGGTCACGGTGAATGCATGCCATAATAGGCGGTCCAACTAAATATTAGAGTGTG